AGGAATTATGATAGAGCGAAGGGTAGGGTCCCAGGGCAGGGTGTGTGCACGGGAAGGGTCCCCCAAACCGGCTGGGAAGGCCTTTCTGTCAGGAAGCGACATCTCAGCAGGTTAACCCAGAGGGGCCAGTGGAGATTAGCCAGGAAGAGTCTGGCCGCCCTGCAAGTGCTTAGACTCACATCAACGTGAACTGCAAAGTGTAGCGCAGGAGGTGGCGTGGAAGGAAGTGGCTGGAATAGAGACACATCCTAGAGGTCCGATGGCCAGAGTCGGTGACAAAATGCTCAGAACACAGGCCCGGTGTGGGGGTTCACACCTGTAATTCCAGCATTTCGGGAGGCTGAGGTGGGCAGACCATCTGAGGTCAGGAGTTCGAGACCAGCCTGGCCAACATGGTGAAAACCCATCTCTAACAAAAATACAAAAATTAGCCGGATGTGGTGGTGCGTGCCTGTAATCCCAGCTACTTAGGAGGCTAAGGCAGGAGAATCGCTTGAACCCAGGAGGTGGAGGCTGCAGTGTACTGAGATTGTACCACTGCACTCCAGCCTGGGCAACAAAGCGAGACCCCATCTCAAGAAAAACAAAAAGATCAGAACATGAGCAGCAAGGTGGGAGGTGATGCCGTCTGCCAAAAGAAGAAATGCAGCAAGAAGACAGCCTCTGCCGGAAACACGGGTGGGTGTTAGGCCCGCCACACCATCCTATCAGGAAAGTCCAGGCGCCACTTGGATATGCAGGCTGGCACTCAGGAGCGAGACCTGGACCAGGGACAAAGCTCTCGGAGTCACCAGTGCAAGCCCTGGAGAACCCTGGGGCTGAGGACTTGGGGAGTGCTGGGGATTTGGGTCAACTGACTCCTTCAGTCATTCACCACTTCCCACTTGTTGCGTGCCAGGTGCTGGGCAGAAAGCCACAATGCAAAGCCCTGTCCTCACGGAGCTGTCACTCTAATGAGACCCAGAGATAAGCAACAAGGAAATGCACAAATAAATAAAACTTCAGGAAGGGGCAGCGGTGGGAGCCGGTTCGGCCAAGGGTCTGTCACTCTCAGGCTGGGTGGGACTCTGGCTCCGCCGCTCCTGGGGTCAGCTTGCCAGCTCTCCCTGTGCTCCAGGCATGGGGCTTCGTGGCACATAGCTGAAATGCCTGTTGCATTATTGCCAAGGGCTGTCTCCCTTTTTCTGTGACAGTGTGAGTTGGAGTATCTTGCAACTAGCAGAATTTACCACATCCTACAAATGTTTCTGGATTCCACTGGACTACGGCCTGCAGTATGCAGACAGTTAAGGCACCCCGACTCCGCGCAACTGAGTGACTGTCAGTAAATGCATCGTCGCTATTGACCGGGCCGTTCCTGTAAGCCTCAGCCACAGAATGACTGCCTCTGAGCAACAATCAGACTTCAAAACACAGGGAGAGTGCTCCAATCTCCATTCCTGCTTTGCAACTAGCTTACATCTGGCAGATCACAGCGTTTGTAAGAAATACCTGGGAGGCGGTAGGTGAAAGTTATCTACGTGGAATGTAGATGTATTTTGACTGACTTTTAGTATTATAGTAAATATCAAACATTCTTTACTCCCACCATTCATCAATTTAAACTGCACACTTCAATTCCCTGGCCAGAAATAAAAACTGTGAAGAATACCACCAATATAGGAAAATTGTTAGGGTAATAAGAATCATAATATTAAGCAAGAAAGGCAGAATATGAATATATACACATGCTATGATCAAAATTCTATAAAATCTGTACATGTGCATGGACAAGGTCTACTCAGATAAAGAAGAATGCTGACGAGAATGGTCTCTTCTTTTTCTCTGGGAAATTAACACAGAACATAACTGCAGAGAAAGAAACCTAAGCAACATTTTAAAGTGGCTGCCCAGTTGAAAAATTTCACTAGGGAAAAACCGACGTGCAAATTCCACTTTCTGAAAAGAGATTACAGGTTATTTAGAAAACAGCAGTGAGGCCAGGCAAGGTGGCTCATGCCTGTAATCCCAGCACTTTGGAGTGCCAAGGCAGGTGGATCATTTGAGGTCAGGAGTTTGAGACCAATCTGGCCAACATGGTGAAATCCCATTTCTCTAAAATACAAAAATTAGCTGGGTGTGGTGGCAGGCACCTGTAATCCCTGCTATGTGGGAGGCTGAGGCAGGAGAATCTCCTGAACTTGGGAGGTGGATGCTGTAGTGAGGAGAGATTGTGCCACTACACTCCAGCCTGTGTGACAGCAAGAAAAAAAAAAAAAGAAAAAGATTACAGATTATTTTGAAAACAGCTGCTAAAGAGTCTTTGGGTCTCTGGCAAAAATGAAGTGGGTCAGTCTTCTATTGACTAAGTCACCAACTGGACAAAATTCTCAGCTGGAAAACGCTCACTTTTGGGACCCTGCTCCCAGAAGTGGTAGCAAGAACTTCTGGAAATAGGCTGGAGCAGAACCTTCCTGAGCCCGAGGAAGCAACGAAAAGTCAAAGAATGAACTCTTTCGCAACACAAAATAAGACTTCTTAAAGCCCAGGTCACGCCTTTTCTGTAAATTCTTTATGCCTGCGTCAGCATGGACATGACATAGTCCAGAGTGAAAATTCTCAGCCACTACCTTACGCACAAGAAAATGCCAGTGATACCCGCCAGGCTGCTGATGCCTGAGGGTCAGTGTGCTCTTGAGGCAGGAGAACAGGGTGTGCAGGCAGAAAACCGAAGGCCAATTCACCCTGACTTCCTTGAAATAAATCGAAAGAAAAGCCCCACTTTCCACGCCTAAGTAACAAAACGACCAGAGGCTACTTCCTTTGCAAACCCCCACCCTTTTCTGCCCTGCAGATGGGAAATCGAAAGTACCTCTGATTGGTTGCTTTCTACAACCAATCAGATGTTTGCATAGGAGGGTAACTTTGTAACTTCAGTCTCTGATTGGCTACAACCAATCAGACTGACTGCAGAGCCAAGCTTCATTTGCACAGAAGTACAACTTTGCAACTTAACTTTAGCCTCTGATTGGTTACTTTCCACAACCAATCAAGATGTTTGCTAGGAGTGTGACCTTTGTAACTTCCCTTCAGCCTCTGATTGGTTGCTTTCTACAACCAATCGGCCTGATTGGAGGCCATCACTTCATTTACATGGGGTAAACACCAATTGGCCAACGGGAAACCTCTAGGGGGTGACAAGATTCTGCATCTGTGCCCCTGAGCAGGTGCTCAGCCCACTCCCAACCTGTGGAGTTTTCAGTAATCTCAGCCTTGGTTGCTTCATTCTTTCCTTGCTTTGTGCGTTTTGTCCAATTCATTGTTCAAAACACCAAGAACCTGGACACCCTCCAGCGGTAACTCTCTGATCCGTTCATTTTACTGTGAAGGAGTTTCCTCATGAGGCTCGGTCAGATTCTTCAGAGAACTCCTAGTCGGATACAAACTCCCACAGAAAACCAAAGGCTAGAATTTGGAACTAATAATTAGATAAGCTCCCAAGAGAGTAAAAGTTGAGAACAAAGCAAACCATTCTCTACGGTTATGCTGTTCCCCAACCCTGTTCCATCGGTTCCATTTTACAGATGACAGCGCTGAAGTCCAGAGAGGAAAAGGAATGTCATCAAGAACTCTTAACAAGTCCAGGGAAGGAGAATCTGGATCTCCCTACTCCCTGTCCCAGCTGCTTTCTGTCGTCCTGGTGCGACTGCTTTTAATCCCAGTTCCAAGAGGGGACAGCAAAGCCCATGGTGGACCTGAATCAGAACCCAAGTACAGGTACAAAGGAGACCTGTGTCTGCCTCGCTCTGTTAACGTAGCTCTGATGACGTCAATGATATTCAGAGAACTGCTAACGAGGGCAAGTGCACAACTGTAATTGGCGGGGAGGGGCGGGTGGTGGTAATTCGAATTCTTTGCTTGGTGGAGAAACACATCAAATGACTTTCCTAATTTTCTGATCAGCATCTCCCTAGGGCTGAGCTGGGCACCACATGGTTATATCCGTCACTTTACTCGAGATTCTAAGGCAATTGAGGACCCACAGACAGGACCAGAGAGCTCAAGGCACTTGAAACATGCATTTTCACTTTTCCAGAATAGAGAATCAGAAGCCATCACCTCTCAGAACGCGTCACAAACATTATTTAAATTTTAATTCTTCTATCCCTTTAAATGATTAAAGGTGGTGCAGTGGCTCCTACCTATAATCCCACAGCACTTTAGGAGGCTGAAGAGGGAGGACTGCTTGAGCCCAGGAGTTGGAGACCAGCCTGGGCAACACAGTGAAACCTCATCTGTACAAAAAATACAAAAATTAGCTGAGTGTGGTGGCATGCGCCTCCCAGCTACCTGGAGGTTGATGTGGGAGGATCGCTTGAGCCTGGGAGGTGCACGTTGCCATGAGCGGAGATTGCACCACTGCACTCCAGCCTGGGCGACAGGAGTGAGACCCTGTCTCAAAAATGAATAAATAAGTAAACTTAGGGAAAAAAAAAAACACAAAAGAAACAACTGAAATACTTGGTTGTAGCTGCAGGGATTATAAGTTACCCTCTGCCCATAACCCTTAAGTGAAGGACTTGCCTGGGGCCACTAATCTTGGATGACCTGGCAGGGGGAGCGGGACACTCCAGGTGTCTTGGTAGGGCCATTCCTAAAGTCCTGAAGGTGGCAATGGACAGTGAAAGGGACTTCTGCACAGCACACACGTGCTGGATCTGTATTTCCTCTGTGGTATGTGCAGTGTTTTATGCTGTAGCCCCAGAGATTTGGGTCCCTGCTTTTATGAAATCATTCCCTAGAGATTACATGAGTCCTTCAACAAGTACATCAAATTCCATATCCAAAGACTGGGTCTTGGAGGATTCAAGTGTGAGGCACTCCCTGGTTCTCCTGGGGGAAGTTGTGACTAATGGTATTATTTATTTTCCTCAGGAAAGGCAATAAAAATGAGCCCCAAACCCACCAATTCACCAGACACAAAGTTCCCCCACTGGTGGGCCATCAGTGCCAGGGCTTACCTGGGACGTCAATCAATCTTTTGTAGACATTCAAGAAAGCTGCTTCAGCTTCCTTGCTTCTTTTACTCAGTGCATCAATCTGAATGAGAAGGAAAGAAAGAAAAGAAAAACAAAGAGCTCAACATCTGTCAAGAGGTAATTTACAAAGCATTACACATCTAGTGAATTCCCGTATCAAGGAGAAGTCTGATTCGTCCAGGCACATGTTTGACAACTGGGCTTCAACCTCTTAGAGGAAATCCTTGCAAACACAAAAGGGCCCAGTTCGTGAAGGTAAACGAGGGAGAAGCAGAGATCTGGGAGTATAGAGCCATTCACTATACAGCAGGGAACACTGGGTGGGTCTTTCACACAGAAGAATGGTCTGGCACGCCCTTCCTGGTCTGTTTTCTTCCGCAAGCACTGACTAGGGGCTAGCCATGTGCTAGACACTGCTGAGGGCCAGGGGTGGACAGGAAGAGACAGCTCCTACTCCCAGGAGCTCAGGGTCTAGGAGGGAAACAGGTATGTAATTAACAAGTAATTAAATCCTTGATGACAGGGGGAAGGGAACCTCAGGAAAGAAAGTTGTGACCTTGGAGCAGTCTTACAAAGCATTTCACTCAGGTGGACGGGTAAGACATTGCATATAAAGGGAAAAACACATTCAAATGCCCGGAGGAAAGAATTTCATAAAATTCTTTTTTTATTTTTTGGAGACGGGGTCTCCCTCTGTCGCCCAGGCTAGAGTGCACTAGCGTGATGTCGGCTCACTGCAACCTCTGCCTCCCAGGTTCAAGAGATAGCTGGAATGTCTGCCTCCTGAGTATATCTGGGATTGCAGGTGCCCACCACCTGTAATCACGCATGGCTAATTTTTGTATTTTTAGTAGAGATGAGGTTTCACCATGTTGGCCAGGCTGGTCTTGAACTCCTGACCTCAGGTAATCCACCCGCCTCAGCCTCCTAAAGTGCTGGGATTACAGGCGTGAGCCACTGTGCCCGGCCTACATGTTCTCCGTTTTAAGACACTTATTCACATGTCAGCGTGTGCTCCATTCCCGAAGTCCAGATTAAGAGCCCACCAACGGGAGGCTACAACACACCATGGGGCATGGGGACCCGTGAGAGTCTGCCGGGTGGGAATGCAGATACATATGCGGGAGCTGTGGGTGACACAGCTGGACAAGCAAGTGGGGTTAGATCATGAGGGGTACAAGGGCATGTGGTACTCGGTGACCCTTACCACCTGGACAGCAGTCAGGGTGGAAGGAACACAGGAGCGGGCAGGGAGGAAGCGATCACTCAGACCTCACTGCTCTCATCCAAGTGAGATGCGCTGGGCAGTGGCTGCGGGTGTTGAGGAGGAGATGGAGGTGCTGGAGAGATCGGCAGCACACACAGTTGACGTGAGGCTCAGAACAAGGCGAACCGAGCACGGTGTCCGGGATCCCAGATCAGGCAACTGGTAAGGTTTTGCGACAGTGGCCAGGGTTGGTTTGTTTTGTGAACTGACTAGCTGAGCCAGTTTCTTCCACGTGGACGTCTATTCATCGACTATGCCGGACGCACATGCAAAGAGCCTGACATGGTTGGACCAACCTCTTAGAATATTTAGCTTACCTACACACTTGCTGAGACAACAGATCACGCTTCACAGCTGAAGCACGCAAGACTGCACGCGCACCGATTTCATACTGGCTCAGGCAAAGGACGCGAAATTATATATTCCTTCTGTCCCCTCCTTGAACTATGCTGTCTCCAATGTAATTTTTCTGTTTTTTTTTTTTTTTTTTTTTTGAGACGGAGTTTCGCTCTTTTCACCCAGGCTGGAGTGCAATGGCGCGATCTCGGCTCATCACAACCTCCGCCTCCTGGGTTCAGGCAATTCTCCTGCCTCAGTCTCCTGAGTAGCTGGGATTACAGGCACGCGCCACCACGCCCAGCTAATTTTTTGTATTTTTAGTAGAGACGGGGTTTCACCATGTTGACCAGGATGGTCTCGATCTCTTGACCTCGTGATCCACCCGCCTCAGCCTCCCAAAGTGCTGGGATTACAGGCTTGAGCCACCGCGCCCGGCCCTCCAATGTTATTTTTAAGAAGCAAAGGATGTGGTTTAATTACAGGGCCTCTCACCTGAGCCACCTGGCAGTTTAAGGGCTGAGAGAGGTCCCCTGACTAAGGATGTGGGACGCTCAGGACTGCGGGATGAGGCCTAGTGGGAGCTGGGTCTAGAAAATCAAACGCATAGCAGACTAGGGCAGTGCAAGCATTTCCAACTTCTAACAAGTTGTGCACCAGGATTCCAATTTGAGGTTAGTTGTTTGGAACTCAGACACATTCCACCACCACCCCCTCTGCTGCCCCCACCTCCACCACAACCCAATAAGATGAAGTTGTGATTACTGGCCAGGTGTGGTGGTTCACGCATGTAATCCCGGCACTTTGGTAGGCCGAGGTGGATAGATCACGAGGTCAGGAGTTCGAGACCAGCCTGGCCAACATGGTGAAACTCCATGTCTACTAAAAATGCAAAAATTAGCTGGGTGTGTGGTGGCGTACGCCTGTGATCCCTGCTACTCAGGAGGCTGAGACAGGAGAACTGCTTGAACCCAGGAGGCGGAGGTTGCAGCGAGCCAACATCACGCCACTGCATTCCAGCCTGGGCAACAAAGTGAAACTCTGTCTCAAAAAAAAAAAAAAAAAAAAAAAAGTTGCATGAAATGCTGATGTACCAGCAAACAAGAGAGAGAGATGCATCATACATTAGAGTGATCTCGGACTGGGGGTGGGCGGGGAGGAGGGGCTGGTGGATGCCAACTGAAGAGTGTGGGATTTCCTTTGGGGGTGATGAAAATGTTTTATAGCCAGGCACGGTGGCTCACGCCTGTTATCCCAGCATGTTGGGAGATGAGGTGGGTGGATCACCCGAGGTCGAGAATTCAAGACCAGCCTGACCAACATGGAGAAACCCTGTTTGTACTAAAAATACAAAATTATCCGGGCAATGGTGGCACATGCCTGTAATCCCAGCTACTGGGCAGGCTGAGGCAGGAGAATCGCTTGAACTTGGGAGGTGGAGGCTGCAGTAAGTGGAGATTGTGCCACTGCACTCCAGCCTGGGGCAACAAGAGCGAAACTCCATCTCAAAAAATAAAAACAAAAAACAAAAAAACAAAAAAAAAACGGTCTGGTGCGGTGGCACATGCCTGTAATCCTAGCACTTTGGGAGGCTGAGGCAGGTGGATCATGAGGTCAGGAGTTCAGGACTCGCCTGGCCAACATGGTGAAAGCCTATCTCTATTAAAAAATAATAATAATAAATTTTAAAAAATGTTTTACAAGGGTCTGTGGTGACAGCTGTACAACTTTGTGAATATCCTAAAAGTCAATGGACTGCAGACCTTAAACGGGTGAATTATATGGTATGTGAATTATGTATCTCAATCAAGTTGTTTAAAACACGTGTATGTACGTCTTCGAAATCAACCTGTATGTAAGATTGCGCGTTGTGATTTCTTTCACTGTCGTATCATGTACCTTTCTCAATTATCTATTACAAATTTGGGGAACTGTCGAAATGGCATTGTTTCAATTGTACCTAAGCCCACATATTGTATGTCTCTGGAGTAAGAAACGGATTTGGAGTTACTTCTCTAGATGAATTGGAACACTTCCTGGGGGCTCTTCTAAGAGAGGCAGGTGGGTAGCAGGGTCTGTCCAGAAAGCTGGGCAGACGCCCTGGCTGCTGTCCATACCACTTGATGGCCATACAGAGGTTTTTCTTCCTGGCTTAGGATCTGCCTACGGAGGGCCCCTCATTTCCCAGGGATTCCGATGGTGGGTGACGGTTGGCTGTGTCTCCCACAGGCAAGGGCTGGGATCTGGAAGGATCCTGATCTCTGTCCTCCTGCCTCGGTTATTCCCAGGGACGTGGAGTTTGGTAATTCACATGGCACACTTTGGGGCTGTAATGGGTTGAACTGTGTCTCCCAAGAGATGACGAAGTCCTGACCCCCAATACCGGTGAAGGTGACCTTATTTGGAAGTAGGGTCTTTGCAAGGTGATCAAGATAAGGAAAGGTCATTAGCGTGGGCCCGCATCCAATAGCTTCTGATATGGAGAAGCCTGGACACAGAGACAGACACGAAGACAGGCGGGATGTCACAGGGAGATGAAGGAGAGACTGGGCTGACGATCTATAAGATGGAGATGATCAGGAAACCACCAGAATCTGGGACAGGGACACAGCAGATTCTCCCCTCCAAACCTCAGAAGGAACCAGCCCCGTGGACACCAGGATCTTGGACTTCTGCCCTCCCGAAACTCAGAGAGAATAAACTTCTGATGTTTAAGCCACTTGGTGAGTGGCCCTTGGTTCCAGCAGCGCTGGGAAAGTGATACAGGTGTGGCATGAGTTACTAAGAAATTCTTTTAGGCAGATAAGGAGGAAAAGTTTTTGTTTCCTTTAAAGCTGATCTGAAAGCCTTTCTTGTAAAGCCTGGCTCTTAAAGCCCAGTCAGCAACCTTAATATGCAAATACCAGCCATTAAAAACTGGGTCCACCCCACATGGCAATTCCCACCACTGTCCTCTTGCTGTTGTCCCTGCATGGCCCTGGCAACATGGCTGCCCCCACATAAATCAACATGTGTAGAACATTAGGCCGTGCTGCATTTGCATATTAAAAGGCGAGGGTGGGAGGCCCAGTTTTTTTGTGGGCTACGTAAATAACATACCTAGTCAAACCAATCCCCTAAGCCCTGTGCAATGTAGACGCCGCCTCCTCCAGCGTCTGTATATACCTGGCTGCCTTCCACTCCACTTGGGGACCTTCGCTTTCAGATTTGGAGCCCCCCTCCCTCTGTCTCTGTACGGGGGAGCCTCTTCCTTCTACCTTCTCTTTCCTTTCTTGCCAATTAAACTCTCAGCTCCTTATAAACCACTCCATCGAGCCAGGCACAGTGGCTCACAAGGTCAGAAGCTCAAGACCAGCCTGGCCAACACGGTGAAACCCCATTTCTAGAAAAATAGAAACATTAGCTGGGTTCGTGCCTGTAATCCCAGCTACTCGGGAGGCTGAGGCAGGGGAATCGCT